TATATATATTAAATGTGTTCTTCTGTAGTAATATTTATTGCTGTGTAAAAGATGAATTTCTGGGAAATCGAATTACTTTTAGTATTTCAGGTGTTATAATTGGACAAGTACATACTATAGTAAAACTTAACTCAAATACAATATATTGTACCAAAATGTTCTGCAAAAACTGTCATACCCAACATAACTGAGCCAAGAAATCCAAAACGAATGTACCATCCACAGCGACCAATCAGATTCCAGCTGGAGGTGAGAGAATAGTCTAACGTCTAATAATACAATTTGAAGGGTCGGTCAGATGCCGGATAGATCCGGAGGCTTCAGGCAAAGGCTTCATTTAATGCTAATTAGAAACATTCATAATAAAACGTAAATGGGGCCACAGATGCCACTTACCCGTGCTACATCCAACAGGTAGATCTGCAGGAAGAAAGCAGACGCACTCCCCGCTATCTGATTGGGAGCTCCTCCTATAGCGTAGCAGCACTTGCTGAACACAGACAGTTTATGTTGCCTTAACTGCAAGAATAAAGGAAATAAAAGAGTTGAAGACACTGCTCTGTGGACATTGACCTTAAAGGGAAACTACAACGATGTTGGTGATTTCTTTTAGTAAAGCGAATGTCCATGCAAGATTAAAAAAAATACATATTTGGTTCATCTCTGGAATGCATGCGCATTTCCACAAGTCTTATCCCTTTATACATACTGCAAATGCATGGAAATAACTGTGGATATGGCAGAAATATAATATGCTCCTAACTTCCTCTTTGATATGATAAAAAAGCTTGGAGTTCCTAACCACATGGTGTCAGCCCTGCCAACTACATTTCTGATGGATTATTAAAAAAAAACACAGAACCTCTTCTATATAACTCATCTTCATCTCTTCCCCCTTCTCATCTACATAGCCCCTCCTCATCTCTTCCACACCCCCTCATCTGTATAACCCCTCCTAATCTACATAACCCCTCCTCTTCTCCTCCCCCTCCTCATCTACATAATCCCTCCTCATCTCCTCCCTCTTCCTCCTCTACACAACTCCTGTTCATCTCCTCCCCTATCCTCATCTTCATAATCCCTTCTCGTCTACATAAGCCTCCTCATTCCCCCGCCTCATCTACATAACCTCATCTCATCTCCCCTCATTATCTCTATAAACCTTCCTCATCTACATAACCCCTCCTTCTCTACATAACCCCTCCTCATCTGCATAACTCCTCCTCCCCCTCATCAACATAACACCTTCTCACCTCCTCTCCTCATTCCTCATCGACATAACCCCTTCTTATCTCCTCCCTTATCCTCATCTACATAACCCCTCTTTATCTACATAACCCCTCCTCAACTCCTGCCCTTCATCTACATAACCCCTCTCCTCATCTCCTCATCTACATAACCCCTACTCATCTTCTCTCCCCTCATCATCTACATAACCTCACTTCATCTACATAACCCCTCCTCATCTCCACTCCCCTCATTATGTACATAACCCCTCCTCATCTCCACTCCCCTCACTATGTACATAACCCCTCCCCATCCCCCTCCTCATCTCCTCTACCCTGCTCATGTACATAACCCCTCCTCATCTCCCCATCCCCCTCCTTGTGCACAGGCAGGGAGATCAGGAAGTTATCAGCTCACAAGATTTCTGGCAGGATCAACAAGTATTTTTTTTTACATACATAAACGCCTTAAATATATATATATGTTATTTTACAGAACAAAAGGGAGCAAATAAGAGATGTTCATGCCTATGGTTTACATACACGTTGGGTTTATTTTTTAGTTGATAAACTTCTTTATATGATTTGTCTTATTTGTAGAAAATTATCGTTTTAATTTCACAGAAGAGAGGGCGGCACTTCAGCCTTGCAGCACTGGGGGTCCCTGGCTCAAATCCTGGCCAGGTCACTTATCTGCATGGAGTTTGCATGTTCTCGTGTGAATTTTCTCTGGGTACTCCAGTTTCCTCTCACACTCCAAAGACATGCTGTAAGGTTCATTGGCTCCTGTGTAAATTGGCCCTCATATGTATGCATGTGTGATAGGGACCTTAGATTGTAAGCTCCTTGAGGGCAGGGACTGATGTGAATGTAAAGAGCTGTGTAAATTCACTGCACTATATAAATGCCTGTAATAAATAGTGTTCTTTGTATTAGTATACAGTTACTCTTTAAATTTGTTTAATTTTCTTTGTTTCTCTGTGATATAATATAAAATTTTGAGGCTAAAAAAGGCCCCTTTTGTGGTATGAGAACAGGCCCAGGATAGTTTAAAGGACGTTTCTCTAGCTCCCAGGAGCCAATTAAAGCCAATAAAAACCTTAATTATGCACCTTTCTAATACTTATATTATAATAAGTATAATATTATAATAAGATAATACTATTATCTCAGCTATTTTTAGGCAGTGTTTACCTTGAAGTATAACTTTTACAAGTTTTTTATTCCATTTTTGTCATTGTATTATATATAGACATTTGTAAATGAAGCACTAAAATGAAGCTACCGTGTTCCCACGAAAATACGACCTACCCCAAAAGTAAGACCTAGCACTATTTTTAAACATTCCTGTAATATAAGACCTGCCCCGAAAATAAGACTTAGTGTGGGGGCAGCCCAGAGTCATGGCGGGGACTAACCGCTGCGCCGCAGCTCCCGCACGCTGCCCGTGTCACGAAATAAGCAGACACCCGTCTGCCTTTGCTTAGAGAGCTGCCGCCGGGCAGCAAACTACATTTCCCAGCAGGCAGCGGCACAGCGCGGCATGGAAGTATGGCCAGTGGGGTCGGAGTGAGGTGACTGAGCCTCAAGTCACTGTGGGAACTTCTGACTGGAGGTCCGTACAGTCCAGCCTGGCGACGAGAGAGGTGGCTCCCTGGCGGGGATCCCAAAGAGAACTGTGGACGGCATCAGAGAGGAGAGCTCCAGGACAGCTGCAGCCTGCAGGTATTGTGACACCGTGTGTGACAGTATTTAAAATAAGACATCCCTGAAAATAAGACCTAGTGTGTTTTTTTGGGGGGAAAAAATATAAAACAGTGTCTTATTTTCGGGAAAACACGGTATTAGTGACTCAGTGGATATACTAAAGGAATGCAAAACCAGTTTGGTGCAACTGAGAAGGAAGGAGGTTCTCTACTCCCCATAGGAAAAGGTCAGGTCTTTTCCTTTATGGGTGCCGGGAGTAAAAGAGAGAGGGATAAACCTGCAGCAGCAAGGCCACTGCCACCACGAGGCAAGGTGGAACTTTCGCTCGGCACGCTATAGAGCCTTAGATGTTTCCTGCTGGTGTAGAAACTAAAAACAAAAGTGCAAGGATGCAGAATCTGAAGTGTCAGAACATTTCTCCTGTCAGTCCCCCATTATTCCATCACTATGACCACAACGGGCAGTGACAGTTGAGTGATTGTTAGACACGTGCAATTTGTTTTGTTTCGAATCAAAATTCGTACGAATTTTCCAAAATTCTGACAAATCCGAATTTCCGAATCCCAATGAATCCGAATGTGTACGAATCCGAATTTCCATTTCCCAAATTTGAAATTTGATCCCGTCTGAATTTCGTTTAAAAACTAGGTTGAATTGGACATGTGACTTCAGGTGTGTTTTTCGGTTAATGCATCGGAATGGGTCTGAATCCGAATTCTGGGAGCCTCAGCTTTAGTTTAATGAATATATGGCTCCCAATGTTGTCGCAACCAATATTCGTTTGCAGTACAGAATACTAATTATATATATAATACTAAAGCTGATGCTCCAAGACCCGAATGGAGTCCCAATTTCCGAATAGCATTCAGGAGCTCCCGAATGCCATTCGGGTCTGGAAGCCTCAGCTTTATATTATGTATGTACTGTGTATCGCTCCCAGACCTGTATTACTTTCTGAAGCTCCCGAATGCCATTCAGGTCTAGAAGCCTCATCATGTACGTATATGGCTCCCAGACCCAAATTGCTTTCTGGAGCTCCCGCAAGGTATTTGGAAATTCGGACTCTCAAATACCATTCGGGTCTAGGAGCCTCAGCTTTAGTATTGACATCTGTATATGGTTTTCTGTGGTAGTCGCAATGAGTATTCGTTCGTAAACTTATCCAAAACTAACGAAAATGTGGATTTCGTCAGAATCCAAAACCCTGAACTAAAATGAGTTTCGGACCCAAATAACAAAAAATTCAAACCGAGCTGAATTTTTCCGCAGCTTCCATGTCTAGTGACTGTCCTCCGAATGGGAAATGTCAGAAGAGATACATACAGCAGATAGGTCACACCAATATCTCTGTTATGGTCCATTGATACCCCATCCCTCACTCCCATTCACCCCTAAAGCCCTCTTCTACTTACATGACTCTGCCTTCTTGTGTCCCTCTTTGGCACCTTTTCCCATGGTGGGGAATATTGATCAGGACTGCAGTCCAGGCTAGCTGCCAATTGGTCTTGTTGCCGTCCATCTTTGTGACATCTTCACATTGCTGCTGATGTCTTCAGCACTGGTAAGGAGTCTGATGCTGGAAAGCCAACTAGAAGAGTCACCAGGTAGCAATATGGTGGCGCACATTGATGGTGGGGCCTGAGGTGGTGGTGTACGGTACCCCTGTCCGGCATCCTGCCACACATACTGACGTCACCGGTTGCCAGGAGCTGGATGGGACAACAGCCAGAGTGCCCCACTCAGCTCCTGCAAACCAGTGACATCAATGAGCTGGTCGGCCCTCAGCAACGTGGGATGTCCTGGCTGGGAAAGTGGCAGCAGGTGTGACCCAATGAGTGGCCTCATTATAGGGATGGTCCATCATGTCATATAAACTATGAAGGACATATCACGTAAGCTACAGATTTAAATGAGTATTTGGGCCATTTAAATTAGGATTTACAAAATAATGCGGCAGCATTTAGTTGGGGGGGGGGCATTTGGGGTATTGTTTGTAGAGAGAGTGGGGTATCCTGACTAGAGCAAAACTATAAAGTAAAGAATATCGTGTCAACTAGCTGCCCGCAGTTTACTTATTGAACAATGAGGGAACATTAACATACATAACCTCTGATAACTCTGCCCTCTCCGGCTATCTACATGTTACCTGTTAGCACATGTGCATGCAGCAGAGCCTGACTGGCTCCTTATTTGCTCCTCCCTTTTCCTTTCTGAGGCCTGCTATGCAGGGGATGATGGGAGGCTAATACAAAGACAGATTCAGGTACTTATGCTGGCTGTATGTAGACATTATTTTATTGGACTTAATGGACAACTTTATGGAATGCTGTGTTTTTTTTAATATCTGCTGGCTAGCTCAGCGATGCTGGCCCCCCTACAATCGGCACAAATAAAAACTCCAGTGTGTTTCTTTAGTGCCACGTTTGGGCTGTTTTTTGGTGTAAAAATTTATATTTGTGCTGCTTCTATTTTTACAATAATAGCAATTGTTTTAAAGATGATGACATGCCCTGGTTGGTTAGTGCCACGTGTGTGCTGGTTTGTGCCGTTAAAATATCCATTCTATGTCCTTTAGTTTTTGAGTTA